GTACTGGGTAAAAAGTCATGGGAAAGTCCACCCACTTTGGAGGATTGTTCTTTTTTTTTTTTTAAACTTAAAAAATATGCCAAAGGAAATGAAAGCTTGAGAAGGTTTGAGGGAACTATGCACTATCGGCTGCTTACTTCACTTCTTAAGAGTTCATGAGTTCAAGCACAATGTGAGGGTTAAAGAATGTTAATTACAGAGTTTGCATGATAAAATGGTTTCTCAGAGAAACAGTTTTGAGTGTTCATTTGTTAATTGGCTCTTCTTTCTATGCCAAATGCATTAAGCGTTTGTCATATTTTAAATGTAATGCAATTAGGTGTAAATTCAAGAGAAAAGTGGACATTATGGAAGCTCTGACCTCAGTTTTCTTAGAAATTATGATTACTAATTATTTTCTCCAAATTTATGTTCATCGCATCTTGTACAAAGCCACAGGGACTGCCGAGCGTCTGGTCCGACTGGGGGTTAACAATGGACGTAGCGCAGGCACCGCCCAGCTAAACTTCATGGTGCGCAAGCCTATCTGTGTGAACCCCCTGCCATACTTTTCCAATGGAATGCTGAATTATTCTAAAGTTCATACTATGAGAAGGAGCTCCAATAGAGGAGATAAAAAATATCAACATTGAGCAGCAGGTAAAGATGACTGCAGAAAAAGAAACTACGTACAGGGCCAGGCATTTTCCTCGCTGCCTGGTGATGCTGGGCAAAGCTTTGGGAAGGCAAAGCCTGCTTGGTTGCCATTAAGTCCAAATTGCAGTACAGAGCCACGCACTCAATGGGAGGCAGTGCAGGTTTACTGGAGTCAATCGAGATGTCCATGGCCTGAGTTAAATGTGGACTTCCTTTGGTGAGAACGACAGGAATGCGAGTAGTGGCTATTTGAAGTTGCAGAGATCTCATGGAATCCTAACTGGAGGCTCAGAGTAGGATTAGAACTAACAAAACTACTTTGGAGGCTCAAAGGGAGGGACCTGTCTTTGGGGCTTCTCAAAGCCAGACCCCGTAGGGCTGGGTAGATTTTGTTTTAACCGCAGAGCTGTGTCTCCACACACGGAGACATGTTTGTGCCAGATGAGATCTTGGAGAAAGAGCTCCATGGATAGGGGCCTTGCTTCTTTCTTTGGATGTGATCTGCAGGAGAATTATTCAACAGGTTTTTCTTTTGGGAAGGTACTTTTAGGGTACAGTACTTTCCTCAATTGTTGTGGCTACTTGTAGACAGGATAGGAAACAGCAGTATTTATTTTTCAAAATCTTAGAAATGATCTCATATCCAATGACCTGTGGTATTTTTTTTCTCAGCAATGTTTCTTTGAGATACCAAACCATCCCATTAGGAGAACTGAATGATTTGTTTGGACATTAAATCTGTTTTTATTAGAACAAGGGTCACTGTGGACACCAGGTTAGGTAGGCTCTGTGGAATAACTTGAGAAAATTTATAATTTAACAGAACAAGCCAGATTTTCAATGGAGAGGTCAGGTTTTTGGTTCTGGCTTTTGTTGTTGCTCTCTTTTCTTGCTTTTCAGCTTGCTTCTTTAGTTTTGTCATTCTGATTAAAGCAAGAGTGGATGCTGTTGGTGCTCTGCTCACATCCTCTTTGCTGAGCCGATGCATCCTCCCAAGCTGCCGTGATTGCTGCCCCTCTTTCCAGGGAATTGTCCTGGGCAGGAAAGAACCCTCTCACCAGCAGGTTGCACTCACCTCGGCTATGGAGCAGGACACAGATCAGGACCTGCTCTGGACAAAAGGGCTCAAAAGACTGCCCAAGAACACAGTCCTCATTGTCCCTTACTAATGGGATTCATTTCTCAGGGTTCAGTGAAAGCATTACGTTCTATACCAATCCTTGCCCTCACCCACTTCCACAAGCCAGAGATGTTCACTTCCTCTTTGATACTTCTCCTGTACCTTCTCTATATCAATAAACTCACAACTACATTGTGTGCAACTGTTATTTCACATCTTCTCATTAGAAAATCATGCATTCCATAAAGGCAAGAGACAGACTTTTTCATGGCCCAAATGGATCGATCATTTCACTGCACTTTCCTCCAGCCCGCACATTCTTTATACGAGTTTTGGCAGATTCCCTGTAAAATGACAGGTAGCTTAGTCAGTTTTGGTAAAAATGAATACATCAGGGCAGCATTATGTTGTCCTTATGCACTTTTGATTTCATGAGCTACTTTCTTTTTTGAAAAGTAAATGTATACTTTATTATTGCATTTGTGTAAAAATGAATGTATTGATGTTATTTATTAAAACATTTTTTGACATAAAAGTTGATTTTATCCTTCAGACTTTAAATAAAACATTTTTTGTGTCCCTAAAAGCATTGCAGATCTCAACACTATACCTATTGGATCTACCAGATAAACCAATAGCTAATTACATAAGCTGACTTAAGTTTGTTTTGTCTCTTTCAGGTAAGTATAACATCTTTAATTATACATTCTTCTGGCTTTATTTTTTCTAACACAGTAGTTATTTGTGAATCCATATGTGACATCATGGGAAATTTAATAGAAATGTCCGTGTAAAACACTATTCAGTCCATTCTGAACAGCAATTTACAAGACTGGTCAAAATTATCACTAGTAGGGCACCCTACTGTTCTTTGAATAGAGTAAGAGAAATATATTAAAAATCAAAAGGAAAAATTAATTTTAGGGTATCACATAAGGAATGATAATTTCAAACTGCACTGTGTATTATTAGTTCCTAACTATCTATAAAGTGTCATGAAAATTAGATTTCAGATGCTAGATGAGGTTTGTCTCACTGAAAAAAAAGTTTTAATAAATTTAAGCATAGATGTATTTGGAGATGATGAAGATTCGGTAATTAAGCATCGAAAATGCAGTGATCCATTTGACATCAAAGAATTAAAGGCACAAAAAACTGCTTAGCTAAATGCAACTGCCAAGAAGGCTGAACCCACCCTTTTTGTGCTCTAAAGAATGACAATTCATCTAGTAGAAAATCTTTCTTCGCCATTTCTGAGTTGTTAAAAGTACTGCATATTAGATAAATATGATTTCAGAGATGCGGTTATTAGAAATGAGGTTGATTCTCAGTGATTCATTTGTTTTCCAGTGTAGAAAGAAGACCTCCAACCTTCCAGGAAATTGTTAAAGAGCAATGGCTACAATAGTCTCTACCAGATTTAGGAAACTTACTATACACAAAGCACTAAGTTCTGCTGCTCTATCTTTCCAATTCAGTTTTGTAAATCCTGTTCTTGTCAAGCAGAAAACATACCCGTCTCTCCTCAAAAAATTCACAAAGATTAGTGTGATTAACTTATGCGATATTAGTATTAGTTCAAATTAACAAACTATAACCTTGGGCATTTCTTCAGCCGTATGCAGTTTCCACAGTAGTGTGGAATAGTGGACAGAGGTGCAGAGAGTTCTCAGTCAGGAAAATCTGAGTTTGAACCCTGGCTTATACATTTATTAGCATCTGTATGACCTTAAAGAAGTGTCTTAAACTCTCAAAGTCTCATTTTTCTCATTTCTAAAACCTTGAGGGTTGAGAGGATTAGAGGTAATGTATGTAAAGCACCTAGCACAGTTCTGGCTACAAAGTAGAGATCCAATATATGTCAGCTACAATAAATTTGTCACTTTAAATGTGCTGACCTTATTTTGGCATTTTAAGGATTCAGGGGTGATAACTATGAGTGTTAATTGTTATCTAGCATTTTGAAACAGATCAGGATATTTAGTACTATCATAAAAGTGTTCAAAACCTGCTTTCTGTACTTCCGTGGTTACTTTTTAATTGCTCATCATTTTTTTTTTTTTTTTTTTGCTTTCAGATAATTCAGGTTACCGTCAGCTTCTCCCTGCCATTTATCTAGCCCCATTTAATGTGCTCTGCTCTTAGAAACAAATTTGTTAGCATTATGCTTAATTAAAAAACAATTGTCCATAGATTCTGCATGGGAAGCTTGAGAGCACAGTCAAGAGTTACATATTCCCATTAGACATAGAATGCCCCCCAAAGGCTCATGTGTTCAAAGATGGGACTTTCGGAAGGTGATTGGATCGTGGGACACTGTACTCAGCATTGAATTAATCAGCTGGGGAGTTCAGAGTTGAATGTGCTGTTAGGATGTGGTGTCAAGACAAAGAGGTCTCTGGGGGTGCAATGGAAAGTTGTATTTCCTTCCCCGGTTCCTCCCTTCGTGCCCTGTTCCTGGCTGCTGTGGGACGAGCCGCTGTCCACCATGCTGTTTCTGCCTTGGAACTATTAGCCCATGTGCTGAAAACATAAGCCAAAAATGAACCCTCTCCTCCTTGAAGTTGTGAGTACTGGGTATTTTGTCCCACCGACAAGATGGTGATTAAAAATGAACTAAAATTTCCAAGTTACTGTAATGAAAGATAACTTAGTCATTGTGTATCCCAAAGGTAATAGAGTCAAATCTCGGTCTTCTGTCTGTAAAACAAGGCAAAAAGTACTTACTATGACCTATTTTGCACCTGAGCTATGAAACACACAAGACATAAAATATATGAAAAACAGACATGAAAGTATCCTATAAATCTAACTTATCAATGCTATTATATATTTTGTAGTCTTTAAAAAAGTGGATGATGAATATGTTTCAGCTTTATGTAATGAAACCAAAATTTAAAATATTTTCTTTTGGTTATATTGCTCCTATTTTTGAGGTCGCCATTGTTAAGTTTTCTTCCAGGACCCTTTAAGCTGACACAGTTCTGTGTACCCATCTCATTTGTGATCTTTGTTCTTGAATTGTTCTGTAATTTATTACTGTGCTATTCAAAGTATTTTTCAACAATGCCATGCCAGACTTCTTTACTAGAAAATAAAAATAAAATATATTTATTTTCTATTTTATGAAGTCTAAAAACATTTTACTTAATCTACAAAATAAAAAGTATATAGGGGCTGGGGATTTAGCTCAGCGGCAAAGCACCTGCCTGGCAAGCACAAGGTCGTGAGTTTGGTTCCCGGTACCGGAGAAAAACCTAAAAAAAAATAAAAATGAAAATAAAAATAAAAAGTATATAAAGTCATCCTCTGATTAGATTTCTTTGTATTCCTCTTCTTTGTTTTGTGTTTGTCTCTGTGTTTTTGTTGTTGCTGTTCTCGCTGTATATGTGAAGTATGAGTGCTAGGGTCGTCATAAAAAATAAATAGATAAAATTTATATACCCAACCTACTTTTGAAATACAGAAGTTGAATTAAGTGTGAGTATTCCTGTACTTAGAAAAACGCAGACTTGGTACAAGTTGGGTATAGTAGTTATCTGTGGTTGCATAGCAATATACCCCAAAACTTAGCAGCTTTGAACCATAAACATGGATTATCTCAGAGTTTTCATGGGTCAGGAATCTGAATGCAGCTTAATGGGTGCTTCTGCCTTAGGTACAGTCAAGTCGTTGGCTGGGGCTGGAGAATCTGCTTCCAAGATGGCTCACGTAGCCACTGGCAGGGTCAAGAAAATCCACCTCCAAGTTCCACTCATTTCTGAGAGTCCCACCATACAAACTTCTCCATTAGCCGTCTGGGTGTCCTCAGGCTGTGGCAGCTGGTTGGAGAGAGAGATGGATGAGGGCAGAGGCTGGTGAGAAATGCACTGGAAAGAATGCACAAGATCAAAGCCACTATCTTGATGTAACTGCATCTCAGAAGTGATATCCCATCACATTTTGTCTCTTCTGTTTACTCAAAGGAAATCACCAGTCCAGCCCACATTAAAAGGAGAGCAGATGGAACCAGGATATAAATACAAGGAATTGGGGATTATTGAAGAAACCTTTAAAGGCTGCCTACTATACTAAGATAACTACCTAGGGTTTGTAATTATCCAATTTTTCTTGATCCTCATAGCTTGAATGTAATCTTTGTTTTTAAGCTTTCCTAATGATCTTTTCATAGAATCATGAACTACATGTTTATTGTATTTATCACAGAAAGATCCTGGCTAAACTAATCCCCCAAAGCACTCAAGGAAACTACTGTTTTGTTCTGTATAGCCCTTTTGGCAGATCTCTAGCTCAGGTGAAATAATCTAGTATAAGTGTGCCAAAAATGGAGAGAATACAAGCCCTGAGCCAGAACAGCCAATCTCCTAAGAAGGATGGCTCTGAGCTGAATATGTTTGCATAAATTATTGTTAATCCTCACCCAAACCTGACAAGAAGGTCTCTCCCCTCTGTATGCTGATAAAATGAAGCTGAATCTCAGTAACTCCCCCCTCACCGCACAGGTGGAGGAGGCAATGGAATCAGGATGAAATCCAAGGTCACAGGGAGTCAAAGCCCATGCCGTATCCACAGGCATAGCATACTACACCTCTTGTCATTGTACCAGAGCCTTTGCTTATCCATACTTATTGAACAAACAACACATTCTGGAAAACTGAGGAAGACTGAATGTACCACTGCTTCCTAAAAACAAAATTGATATTAACCAATATGAATGTGAAGAAAAATAATAACAATACATGTATGTGTTATAGGCTGACACGTGTCCCCTACAGTTCATACGTTGAAGATCTGTATCCCAAAAACTCGGAATATCACTGCATTTGGAGATATGATCATTAAAGCAGCAATTAAGTTAATATGATACCTTTGCAATGAGGTCTAATCTAATTTGACATAAAAGAAAGAAATTTGCACTCTAAAAGACAGTGGTAAAGACCACATGAGGACGTATGGAAAAGTTAGCTATTTGCAAGCCGGAGAGAGGGCTTAGAAGACATTAAACTTGCCATCAGTTTGGTCATGGACTTCCAGCCTCCAGAACTGTGGGGAAGTTCATGTTATTTAAACAACTCAGGGGCTGGGGATTTAGCTCAGCGGCAAAAGCGCCTGCCTGGCAAGTGCAAGGTCGTGAGTTCGGTTCCCGGTACCGGAGAAAAACCAAAAAAA